GAGGTAAATGTAATCGTCTCGTGTGTGGTTGTGTGTGTGTGTGTGTGTGTGTGTGTGTTGTGTTTTGGTTGTGTCCACAGTCTCGCGCGGCCGCGAAAAATCGATAAGCGCGTACGAGTCGAGCCGACGGCGAGTCAGTCAGACACGGCGAGTCAGTCAGCAGCAGCCAGCAGCGAGCGGGCGAAGCCAGATCGTAACACATACATGTTACATGCTGGCGGAGGTATGCACTCTCCGTGAGTGCCCTCTGTCTAGTTTATACTGTAATGCAATGTGCTTGCGGGTTTTCTCTATTCACTGCGATATAATAAAGGATCAGTAATATTCCTTATTAACTCGCTCTTCGTTGAGCTATTGTGTTTTCACGTCGGTTGCAGTCTATCTGCACGCAGCTGCTTACGAGACACATATATCACCAAGAGCGTTTAAAGAAGGATTATTACGAATATCCTTCTTTATACGCTCTTGATATCACTGTCTGATTTAGCGATGACACATGTACAGGAACCTGCAATACTGCACAGCACACGCGCTGTCGTTCATTCACAGTTCACCGGTGAACGCTACTAATCGCGTACAATCAACATTTACATATCTATATCTGCAATTACGATCGGCATCCGTGCGCGTCTGCACGATGCAGACAACTGGCGATGCGGCAATCGGTGGAATAATGCCGGAAGGCACTTGATTAGTGTCTGTTAATAAGGCTCGCGTGTGAAAAACAGTGAAGCGTTGTCAGCCGCCACGAAACAAACATGGCGTATTCGCTCGGGGGATGCAGAGAAGGCAAAGGCCATGGGTTGCCAGGCAAGCTTTCGCTCGCATCGACGCGCGTGTATCGTTTCGTGCGTGGCATGCGCGTGCGTGCGTGCATGCGTGCGTGCTGTGCTGTGTTGTGTTGCGTGTCAGCGGCTTGTGTAATAACAACTCGTCCGGCAGCCGAGTGCAGCCGAGTTATCAGAGAGGAGCGGCTAATGTGCTGCGGGCATGCTGCTTAGCAGGGACTTCCGTCCGTAATGTATCATGGCTGTTTCCATAACCATCTTGCACAGTGTACGGTCTAGCAGTGTGTCCTGCGGCAGGTGTCCCATGTAGGTCACCTTTGTGATTAGGTGATTAGGTCACCTTTGTCACCTTTACCTCACCGGGTAGAATGCTACCTTAGGTGTACGAGTGCGTGCACATGTGTGCCTGTGTGTGCGCATGCGTGATTGTGTACGTGTGTGTCTGCGTGCGTGCGCGCGTGTGCGTGTATGGACTGATGGATATGTTCTGTGTTTCAACTGTATAATTGGAATGGTTTTCTGTTGTTGTTGTTTTTCGAATAGAATGTATTAAAATATAATAAGGGCTTTCGACGTTATTTTCCGTTTGGATTGTGTTCGGTGCCTAGAAGAATGTTGACGACTTTGACATATCGTCGATTTGGCATTCTAATACATCATAGTAGTCTTAAAGCATATTTGCGAGATGTATTGCAAGGTCGATTTTGCACTAACTTGGATAATGGCGTGAATTAATGTGTGCGTGTGTGCGTGCGTACGTGCGTGCGTGCGCACGCGTGTGCGAGAGGGTGTATGCACGTATATTTGTCGATGGCGCACACAGAGATTTTACCTTTTGAATGATTAAAATGATAAATGATTGTCATGTTTCATATTTTGCATAATTGCATTCAGTTCCATCCTGTATTAGTTACGCTCCGTGTAGATTCGTAACGTTGAACGGTAAAAGTTCATAAATATCGGTGCAAGTATGCCGTGTAAGCTAGACAACACCGAACACGTCATCGATAAGGGTAGGAACACAATCTACTTAATTGCTGCAATTGTGAATATATGCAAACACTCGTCGACAAATCGTGGGTTTAAGGTTATTTCTCACCCATCGTAATCCGTATATACGTAGCATAAATTTCACCAAGCTAAAGAAAATAAAGTCCCGAACCACCACTGACCGCATCTACTGCCATTACTGGCCGAAACCCTCGCGCATGCTCCGTTTGCCCTTTAACGGTGCTGGCTGTAGGACACTGCCCCTTGACCGGCCAGAGTAAACGACCCCTGTCCAATATGGTGCATCTAATAGAGATGGTAGTAGTTAATGCCAGTGTCCGCTAACAGGCCTCGGGCGCCGTCCCTAGGGATTCCTCGTGCCGTGTTAATTATGTTTGTTTACTTACTGCCCTCAGCTACAGTCTCTCCTCCATCCTCTCTTTCTCTCTCTCTCTCTCTCTCTCTCTCTCTCTCTCTCTCTCTCTCTTTCTCTCTCTCTCTCTCTCTCTCTTCGCTCTCTCTCTCTCTCTCTTTCTCTCTCTCTTTCTCTCTCTTTCCCCCTCTCTGTCTGTCTTTCTCGCTTTCTCTCTTGCTCTCTTTTTTTCTATGCGTGCGTGGGCGTGTGTGCGTGTGTGCGTGTGTGTGTGTGTGTGTGTGTGTGTGTGTGTGTGTGTGTGTGTGTATGTGCGTGTGCGTGCGTGTGTGCGCGCGCTTGTGGCTAATTGCTAACCATGCAACACATGCCACACGAGCCAACCCTGTAGTAGTGACAGGAGTGTATAATATAGACTAGATTATACACTCATGGTAGTGAGGTGTCTGCCCCATCTGCATCTATAAGCGTAGCAGTAGGCGACGCTTCATATGACTAAACATCTTAGCGTGAGTAACCAGAGACAGTGTCGGCATGTGGCCGGATTGAGGCTTCACAGCCCTTGTCCAGTTCATCCGAGTAGAATCAGAATAAGGTCATCTCGCGGTTACATACGTATCAGGAGACAGGAGTAGATAATAGGGAAGGAGTGTGACATCAATAAACAAGGGAAATTCGTCATTTACTAGCCTTAGCAATCAGCAGCAGATCGGGCTCAAATCTCTCAGCGAGCCACATTGCCCGCCGAGTTAGCAATAGCGCGTTAGTAGCTGCTTTTTGTTTGAATATAGGCGGGCAATCGGCTCGGAGTGATGGCCAAAGAATGGATACGTTTTAGTCTGTATCTCCGGATTGCTTGTGTATACGAGGAAACGATTTCGCACGATGCTAGGCGAATGTACTGTGTACGATTTGAGCTCAAGTTGCATGAGTTACGCGTAGTAAATCGTAGGTATTATAAGGCTAGTAAATGACGAATTTCCCTTGTTTATTGATGACACTCCTTCCCTATTATCTACTCCTGATACGTATGACTCCGCCTCTCTTACTTTTAGATTTCCAGTGAGCTTTTTCGAGGTGGGTGGGACTGTACGATTGCAGAACCCGACATGATCTACGGTATATAGACTGACAGTATAGATAGTTAGTCGTCGGCACACCTCGCCGATCTCCCGTGGTATGTCCCTTCCTCCCGCCTTCCCTCTCTCCCTCCCTCCTTTCCTTCCTTCCTCCAACCCCTGTCTCTCTCCCTCTATCCCTCCCTCCCTCTCTTCCTCCTTTCCTCCCACCCCTCTCTCTCCCTCCCTCCCTCCCTTCCTTCCTCCCACCCCTCTCTCTGCACTGCGCGTTCCTCTCTCCCTTCCCTCCTCCTTCCTCCGTCGCCATTCGGCTTCTCGTCTCCTTCCCAACCTCTCCCCCCGCTCTGCCTTCCCAACCCTCTCTCTCTCTCCCCCTTTTCTCTCTCTCCCTCTTTCTCTCCCTTCCTCCCTCCCTCCCTCCCCTGTCTCTCCCTCCCTTCCTCCCTCCCTATCTTTCTCCTTCCCACCCTCTCTCTCTTCCTCCCTCCCTCCCTACTCTCTCTCTCTCTCTCTCTCTCCCTCCCACCCTGTCTCCCTCCCTCCCTCCCTCCCTCCATCTTCGCTGCTCCTCGCGCGTTAAAACCGCTAACGCCACTGCTAAACCGTCTCCTAAGGCCTACTTAGGCTCGCTTGCGTCTCGGAGTGCTTGCTTGTGTGGGCATTACGATCGCCGGCGTCGGTTACAGGCGCGATCGGAAACAACACGTCGTACTATACGTCAGCCGCCGCGTTTTCCCGCATCGTCAAGTAGCCAGTCGCGGCGACGCGCGGCGTACCTTTCTGCGGCGTGAAACCCGTCTCCGTCGTCGGCGCGCACGCAGCTGCTCGTCGCAAACGCACACGTGTTGCTTTAGCGCAGGTTTTTCGGCGCGCTCTCGCGTCGGCGTGTCGAGTGGCCCCGGCGAGCGGCTGGCGGTAACGGATGCCGTAATCCATCGGCGCAGTCCGCCAAAGCTGCGCCTGATCCCTGCCTCGGAGCCGCGCTCAGCCTCCCGCATCATCCACGAGCAGCGGCGCGAGTCAGCACGGCGCGGCTGTCTGCTCCCCCCCCCCCCGACATCCCCCCTATATTAGAGCGACGGCCGAGAAGCGAGCGGCGCCAGTACTTGTTGTCCGCGCGTCTTGCAACTGACTATTATATGTACGACTGATCCGTTATCGCTGTTTCTGTCGTCGACATCGTCGTCGCCTTCGTCGATGTAGTCATTCTCGTGAGCCGATAAAAACGACGACGCGACGTCTCCGCAAGCTGCCGACGACAAGTGTCTTTTCGACGCAAGAAGCCACAGAAGGTTGCCGTCCGGGGGGACGGCCTGTCTGCTATCTTCAGTCTCCGTGGATTTCAGCACAGCGCGCGAGCCGGGAAGCGAGCCTAACGTCGGCAGAGCGACGCTGCGAGCTGCTACGGCTCCGTCGAAGCCTGCCGCAGCTTCTCAAGGTCATTTGAAGCCAATCTGAGGTCATCCTAGCGTCCGAGGTGCGTCAGCGTCGCCGTCGTTCAGACACATAGTATACACGTATACACGTATAGCGACAGACCGCCTCTGTCGTAGACTTCCTGTACGTGTCTCTTGACACAGTGCGGCCTGGCAGTGCTGTCGGCGCCACGCCGACGAGAAGCGGGCCGACGTCGCAAGACCATTTACAGTGTCTCGTTTATCTATAGATTTTCTTTTCTACGATCCAGATCTTGTGGATCGTAGTGGTGCCGCTGGGATGCCGGTGTGCTGGTGCTACAGCGGTGTGCGTGTACGTGTGTAAGGACGAATTACTACGTTAGCGTGGTCGTCGGCGTGCAAGCAGTCGTCCGGAGCCCCACTCGCTCTGCTGTTTAACTGCTGATTAGGATGATGATGAACGAGGAGAAGTACACCGAAGCAAATGGAGATGTCGTTCGCAGAGCAAGCGGGGAGGATGCTGTCATTAGAGATCCTGTAAATCTGATCAATGCATGCTTTAATATATATATATATATATATATATACGCCGTGATCGGAAATGAACACTGTTTAATGATCACGATGCATCATAGCTAACGATGTTTTCTATACCGGACACTCTGTACTTTCTATAAAAGATTATGTTTCTGCCGCTAGCGTACTCTGGGGCTTCCATTATACGGTTCATGAGCTGCTAATATAAATACCGCCCGTGATGCTTACATGATTGCAAGTGTTGAGACTGGTGATGCTACAGTGCTTCTTCGGTTTATACACATTATTTCTATAGACTAGCTTGTGTTGGGTTAGTGTAATCAACCTCCGTTCCCCGCGGAAACTTTAAAAAAACGTGCGCGTGAAATAATGGCGCAGAGTTTACACGTCTGACACATTCGCGGATGATTCCGTCGATAATTGATGAATTTTGTGGATTTAGTGCGAACTGGAATTATCGCACGTGCCCGTGTATGCCATTAGTCACGGCGAGCAGTGTCGGTTTTAATCCATCCTTTTAGTAACCCTGCATCATTGCAAACAACGATCGCGTGTTTTTTCCGCGGTTTATATTACGGCAGCGGAGCCGGAATGTGGTGGTAAACGTCGCAGCATCTCTGTTGCGGCGTTCATTTGTTCTGCAGACCTGTAAACAGCGCGTCAGCGTCCCTGCAGCCTTATTAATTGTTATTTATTGAAGCTATAACTCCACGTTATCAAGAGTGCATAATAGAGAGTGCATATAGTGCATATAGTGCATATAGTGCTCTATTATGCACTCTTGACGTTATATATCTATTCATCTCTTGTTCTCTTATCAAAAAGTTGGGGAATCCTTGGCGAGCTCTCTAGCGATATTTCTTTCGGAACCCGTTACTGTGTTTTTGCATTGTTATCATTCTGAGCATATGTAATTTTATTTCTTTATTTTTTCAGATGTTTGGTATCCCCCTTCAGCAGGTGAGTTTCACACTTGTTATGTTTTGGTTTTTATTATATCGCTAAATCCTGAACTATGCCATCTATACGTGCGTCCACGTGTCTGCCCGTGCGCAGGCCTGTGCACGTGTGCGTGCGTGTGTGTGTGTGTGTGTGTGTGTGTGTGTGCGTGCGTGCGTGTGCGCGCGCGCGTGCGTGCGTGTGTGCGAGCGCGTGTGTGCGTGTTTGAAGGCGAGCGTGCATTCGTGTGCGTGTGTGTGTTTGTACGTGCGTGCGCCGTGCATGTTTATGTGTAACACGTTTTGTTGGTTTTCGCGTACAGAGTGTCTTTAAATTGCAGAATGCACAATTGAATAGAACTAGTTTCTATACATCTGCGTTCGATCTATCCATCTTGGTTGAAACTTGAAGTTGCGCTCTGCGGAGTCCGGTGAAATCTTGGTATTACCCGTTTTGGTAGTTATGTGGAAGGCTCCTATACCGGTATCTAGTTGACAGCAAGCGCCGCATTAAAAATTCAGGATTCCTGAAAGGAAGTGCTTGCATATAATTCCCACGCGAGTTTCCAAACGTGCGCTACTGTGTGTTTTCTCCTCCCGTCCGTGTACCTCTGGCTTTCTCCTCCCGTTGGCGTGATTTTTATTTTTCCTCAGGAGGGAGGGCGGTAGGGCGTGAGAGAGGGGAAGGGGAAGAAAGAGAGACAGCGACAGAAAGACAAGAGAAGAGATAGAGGTGTAAAGAGACCGAGGGTAAGAGATGGGGTAAGCAGGGCCAGAGACAGCGGAGATACAGACATCAACGGCCACACATAACATCAGCATTCATCACACATCAACACATAACAGGCGTGCTTAGCCCTAATACACATGATCAAGATTACGTAAACGATGTCTGCGCTATTGATATTATTATATCCGTTATGTCTTAATATGGCGTACTGTGTGGCAATCTCTCATTTCCGCTTCTGTTTTGCTCTTCACTTGTGTTTGTGAGATTACTGTGGCCTTGACAAACTAATTCGTTCGTGTAACGTTTCCTGACCGCTGTAAATGAATTACTAACAATGTTTAGGACAGAAACGCTTTCAGCTGCTCGTGTTTGTCTATTTCCTGTAATACGACTGACCTACAAGACGGTGCCTGGTGACATCACAGAGAAATCGGTGAGAACCCTAAGCCGCTCACCTGGACGAGACGACAGATAACACCAGGGGGGGGGGGAGGGAATCATGACAAATTATATAATTTAAATAGTTAATAGTTAATTTTAATACTTTTAATAATTTGTCATTATTCGCTGATGATAACACGACAGCATTTCACGAAACAGTTGGGCGCATGACATATAAGGTTTCAGCCAAAAAGTAGGGGGCAGGGTGTCACAACAGTTAACACGGCAATATTTAATGCGGCACTTGGGCGCGTAAGAGTGGTTGCCAACATTTAACGCAAGTGAATTTTGCCGGGCGGTAAAGGTTAGCCAGAATAATAGTAACAAGAGCGTATAAAGAAGCCTTCTTTATACGCTCTTGATAGTAACCAAACAATATACCTGACACTGAACAAAGAAAGCTGCCAGGATTTACTGCCGGAGTCTGATTCATCTCCAGTGTAATACATCGTATGTATTGCTAGAGGCGTAGGCTTCTCATACAAACATGCGTACGTCTATAGCGCACATGTTGGCTTTCAAGACTAACAATAGCGGAGTAAACATAAAATGCACACAGATCAGGTAGACGCATTTTGCTCTGTTATTATTATTAACAGACTCATTCACTGCACTTTCTTGAGTTAGCTGAAAGATTTCCGCTGACAGTAGTAGGTATAGGGGATTAGATAATGACATCATAAAGGTAGTATTTCCTAATCGTTCTTAAACTTCCTTGGTGTTGCTCTACGCATGTGAGCTTCCTCTTTGCGGTAAATGAAGGGACACCGTTACACTGGGGGCGCGTCCTATCCCTTCCTTTATTTCACGCGTAAACAGGTGTCACGTTCAGGTACTTGTTTATTTCTCATTAACGTTGAACCGTGAAAAATCCATATTTATGAGTAAGAAAGCCTGATTCAAGCGAGAATTATGCCGTATACGCGGGAGCTTTGTTAAACTCGAACGTCGAGCGTCGAAACGTTACGTAAGATTAGGTGTGAATGAAAGCAACTTTGTTGTTATTCACTCAGAATCGATGTCTTATGCTAGGCTGCTCGTTCGCCAGCCGACCAGAGAGGCGGGCCATGATAACTGGTTTTATGCTCGGAGATCAATTGTCATTCTAAGCGCACTCGAAAGTCGTGGCCTCGAGCTGAAGGCGTTACTAACGTGTTTAAGCGAATAAGATGAAAGCACTCGTGCGAAAAATCGTTACTAATATTCGGAAGTATAATATTCGATCTATGGCTCAGTTTGTGGGGGGGCGGGCGAGGAGAGGAATGGAGGAAATATTGTGGATATTCATTCTTTCACACACCCCTCCCTCTCGTTCTTGCTCTCGCTCGCTTGCTTTCTTGCTCTTCCCTCTCTCTCTCTCTCTCTCTCTCTCTCTCTCTCTCTCTCTCTCTCTCTCTCTCTCTCTCTCTCTCTCTCTCTCTCTCTCTCTCT